GAAACCAACTTAAAAACGCAAGAAACATAATTATGAAGAAACAAAATTATTTAAACAAAAAAGCACCAAATGTGTCACACAGGGAATTCTGGGAATGTCAATGTACTTTTTTTATTTTTCATTTCCAAAAACTGTACATTTAAAATTATGAACAAACGTAACATTAATAAAACGTTCGTTCAGAGTCATCTGGTTTTCAATAACGTTCTCAAAACGTCAGGACAACAACGCTATTTATATATCATTTATGCAACGTTTTATTCCTGAAATGTTTTAGTTAGCCTACAGATGTTTAACTAGAATTTTTCTAACGTTATTATTTGTTTCAGAACGTCCAGGTAACGTTCAAAAGTTAAGTTATTTTAATGTTTACAACATTCTAAAATGGAATGTTCCCTTAACATTCGTAAAATACAAAAGAAAGAAAGAAGGAAAATAAATAAGGGTTCAGAAAACATTAAGAAATAACGCTTTAATACGGCCCACATAAATGGGAACAATAGCAAAACGTTCTTAGAACATATTTTGTTAGCAGGCTAGTCACGTAAACAAGTGAACACGATAAAACTACACAGGCATGTATTCAAACAATAAAAACATCTTCATTAACTGACTAAACAGTCTTAGTATCTACAAATTGCGTACGTTATAACTGGTTATAATCAATTAGTTATTAATTAAATAATTATAATAAGCGTAATGTAAACCATGCTTACGACTCCATTCATTTGAATAAATTGAGTAATAGATTTTCACAATGCAGAATAACATACGTATGCGTATGCGCATGCGCAGTTCTGACCCAAACATGGCGACGGAGAGCTGCGAAAAGTGCTGAATTCTGTCTACATTTCGACAAAATCGCGAAGGTTGGTCGACATTTCCGCACTTATTTTATTTTCCTCCGCGCGTTATGATATCAGTCGTTATATCAGATGACAACGAAGAGCTCTTTTAAAGACTAGATGTGATAATTTGGGCGTTTATTTTGCCTGATGTTCAGCACTTTCTGTGCTGGTGGCGATTATCCGTGTTGTTATTTCTGAAGTGTCTGTGGATCCTGACGAGGCTGGTCAAATAACGCGCAGATGTTGTGTTTTTCGTCGGTATTGATCATATTGTTGATGATGTGTATGATCAGGTGTGTCGTCATCGCTGATGACGCTTGCTTTATGTCAGCTGTCAATTTCAGGCGTTTGTAAACACACTCATATTCACTCTTGAATTATTTATCTGTCGTGTTTTTTTTTTTTTTTTTGGTTTTTTTTGTTGTTGCGTATGTGGTACCGCGGTAATACCGTGGTTTTTCCGACATGCTATTATTTGAACTATTTAGAAACTCAATGTAAAAACCCCTTGAAAAATTTATATAGTAGCTAATTAATCAATTCTAGATTATGAATCAGATTAGCAGCATAGTATCTATTACCATCTCTGTACCAGGATACGAGCTAAAGGATAAAAATAAAAATAAAAATACATTAATTAGTCATTTTATGTGGTTCTGATATTCTGCCTTAACAGCTGCTGTCTATAATAGTTTTTCTTTCTTCAAGTGTTTTCAATGGATTATTTACAATTGTATTATATATTACACCTTTAAATTACTATATATTATAATAAAATATTATATGCACCACTATATGTATAAATACATGCAATATATTTAAAAAATAATTACAATTATATATATATATATATATATATAAATTTGTAATTATAATGCATTTCATGTGTATTTATGTATATAATTTGTTTATATAATGATTAATAATATTTATTGACAATATTTTTTTTTTAATATGTTTATTATAAATGTCTTAATTCTTGTTAAATATATATATTAAAAAAAAAATATTCGTTTACATGTTTGATAACTGTAATACTTTGGTGGTGGGAAAAAAATGGATATAAATGAATATAGAATCTCCTTCAAACATTGTACGGAACTTTCAGAATCTTTGTCGTTTTTTAAATGAATGTAGAAGCTGTGAGCTGGTCAGCATGATAAATGAATGTGTGCAGGTGTGTGTTTGTGATGTAAATGTCTGGTGTTTGATGAATATTCTGCTGATCCGGTGGAGGTTGTTGTGTTTAGTCTGGAGCGTGTCTGTGATGGAGAACAGAGAGAGAGGAGGCAGGGTATGATGCAAACCGCTTGAAATCAAACATGCAAATAAAAGCAGTCCTGAGCGCTCGTTTGTTGTTATGAATGATGAAAAGCCAGAGAAACACAGACAAACTCCGCCCACCACACCCAATCACGACACTAAGCCCCGCCCACCTGTCAATCAGTTTGAGCCGATTCACTGCAGCGAGTGAACCAGTGAATCAAACTTTAGCCAACGAAGCTTCGAAATGAACATTTCTGTGAATGAATGGTTCTGGATGAATAAGTGCAGATCTGGCTGCTGGTTCTGGGCGGATGAGTCTCAGGAATGTGACGCCTCGGGGAATGATGGGATCAGAGAGATTCCTGATGGTGCTTTCAGGAATCTCGGGGGGAATTATGGGATATGTGTCACAGTCTTCAGCGGGTGTGCCCAGGAGGGCCACCAGATGACTGTTCTGTGAGCACATGGCTTGTGTTGTGTTTGTCTGTTGCCATGTGCTCTCTCCTGTCTATTGTCTTGCCCCTCCCATCTTTATTATATATTCTTATTATTTGTATGTATAGCATATGTTTACCTGCTTTTTGTTAGTTTTAGGTTTTAAAAAAAAATATGATTCTTATCCAATTATTTTAAAAATAAGCAGAATAATTGATTATCAAAACCAGTTCAGGAATATGATCAGTTTTACATATCAAACGAAAAATTCTTTATGTTACTTTTAGGAGCTTTTGTCTGATTTTTATCCAATTAATCAAAATAAAAATAGATGAATCAAACTAACATGATCACAAGTCTTTTCCAAAAGAAAAATAGGTTTCAGCCCTATATTTTTTTCCATATGCTATTATTTGACTGTAAGTTCATCATTCTGACGCAAAACAGTGAAATGAGTGTGTGTGTGTGTGTGTGTGTGAGTGTGAGTGTGTGTGTGTGT